TTTAGCCGTTTTTATTAATGATGAAGTTTAAACGGATGACTAGTTATGACAAACAAATTAAATAAAAATTAAGAATGTAATGGGACAAAATTAAATGAATATAACCAAATGTAGCGAATACCCATTAGTCAATAATTAAAAGTTTAATTTGGTATTGTAAGATTTTCTCATTCAAAACACATTAAAACTTATCCTTTCAAAATACAACATTAAACCATCATTTAAGACTAGAAGAAACCTCACAAATTAATTATTACAAATCTCACAAAAATTTAAAATAATCACACGATAAATCATTAAATCTCATAATAATATCTACACATAAGTTTTTTTTTTTTTTTTTTTCTTAATCAGTAGGGGCAGTGGCTCCCACAACTCGCACAATAAATCTGCCGATGATTATGATCTCAAACTAACATGTAAACACTGTGTGAAGTCAAGTCATAAGTTAATAAGTCATATCCTTCAAAAAGTTTCCACTCCATCAATGTATTTGGAAAAACTACTATTCGTATTCCTATAATCCTATGTAATTATTTGTTAGATAATAGTATAATACTAATGATAAACATGCACGGTGTGCGATTAAAAAATGTTCAAGAATCAAACCCCCCCCCCCCCCTCCCCCCCCCCAAAATATATATATATATATATATATATATATATATATATATATATATATATATATATATATATATATATATATATATATATATATATATATATATATATATATATATATATATATATATAGTAAAATCTCATAATTATTGAAATGATTTAAAAAAAAAAACAAATAGATTTTATAACTATTAGAAGACAAATTTTTATTTTTGATAATAAGAAAGATTATTATCTTACAATTTTTTTTTAAAAAAAAATGCATTAAATTATGTAGGTATTGTGTTTCAAAATTATTATATTTTTAGAAAATAGTTTTTCTTTGATAATTTTTTATATTTTAATTAGTTTTAAAAAAATACAATAATAAATGAAATGTAATTTTTGTTACAATATGTTAATAATTCATATATTGCACATCAAGTAATTAAGATACAAATTAAACAAAATGTTATATATGTTTCTAAGTGCGAAATTTTCAACTCTTTTAGAAAAGAAAAAAAAAAAGTAAGATTTTAATTTATTTTTATTTAAAAAAAACTAAAAATAAATAAAAGTTAAATTTTCAAATGAGAATTTGTATTAAAATAGGTATGTATTATTTATTGGTTCGAATTATAATTAAGTAAACTATATATTAAAACAAACTACATAAAAAAAATATGTATGTGTCTTTGTATTTTACATAGTAAGGGTAGAATTGGAAAAAATAAAAATTATTAATGGTATGATCGGTAATAAGATATAAATGTACAATAGAAAACGAAAAAAACTAAAGATTTTTTTTTTTTTTGAAATACTCATGATTCTTTACAAGATAATATCTGTTCTATACTTTCTCAAACATTTTCAGTCCAAAAAAGGTAACTGAGATGCCATCACACTACATGGTAGTTAGCACTAAAGAAAAGTATTTAATTTCACTTATGCCACTAATGGATTTTTTTAAATTAAGAAAAACGAAAAATGTGAAGAGTAAAATTTAATTTTTTAAAAGTCAATATAGAATACAAAATATTTTTTTTGATATAATTTAAACTGCCAACACAAATTTTGTTCCAGTTAAAGATTAATATTATTGGCATTTATTAAATTTTAGAGAAATGCATGCCCAATGGCCAATACAACCATTCATTATGATTTTACTCCATATTCATAGAAAATATATGTATAAAAAAATCATATATATATATATATATATATATATATATATATATATATATAGAGAGAGAGAGAGAGAAGAGATCAAGTGCGAAGGAGCTCACAGGTGAAAGATAGGGTGAGATATGAGTAGTTGATCAAATCTAAATCAACGGCTTAAATCAATGAAAATTTTAAATAAAAAAAACGCACTTTCTGCCAACATGCATGCACTGCACTATCTCAAACTGATGCACCTTAAAATATAAAACTACGCGCCTTAAGTTTAAATTGATGCACCTTAAACTATAAAAGTGACACACCTTAAGCTTTAAACATACGGTAATTAAGCTATAAAACTAAGCACCTTAACCTTAAAACTTAAGCACCTTAAGTTTTAAATTGACTAGAAAGTGGCTAATTAACCTTAGATTTAAATATACGCGCATTAAGTTATAAAAGTACGTACCTTAACCTTAAGTTTTAAACTGATGCACCATAAGCTTTAAACATACGCACCATAAGCTTTAAACATACACAAAGTTTTGAACTTATATGCAAAATTAACATAATGCCACAACGATTTTTTAAAGTGTTTAATTTCTTCAACATGGACTGTTGATTTTGACTAGATCAAGGGTTGAGATAAACCTCATATTTCACTTACATCTTACTACTTCTGATGATCTTTTATATATATATATATATATATATATATATATATATATATATATATATATATATATATTCGTCGCAATGATATATATTGATAAGAATGGATGAAAAGATATATTATGACACATACTTTATAAAATATAGATAGTTGATATATTTTGCGCTCATCGTCTTAATGCATACACCGAATAGCCGACTATAATATGTAGCGGTTCTTTAGCTAGACACTTAGCAACAAAATCTGGTTGGAGTTAAGAGTTTGTATGAAGTTTCATATTTGATAGTAATGATGAATTGAATGACGACGTCCATTACAAAGAGGAAACAAAAATGGAAACGACATTACTATTTATAACCAAAGTTTAGACTATTACAAGGAAAAAGAAACTAAAGTACTCCACCACTGACGAAGAGATCGAAAATGCTAGAGAAAACCTTAATATTATTGTAAGAAAGTTATATTAAGTTATATACTATTTACAAGACTGGAGATTGGAGAATATACTTTTTAAAAATTGAATTCATTTTGGTCTCGAATTGCATATAATTAATTGGACCAAAAAAGAATTAATAAGATTCCAGAAAGAAAATATATATAATAGTAATAGTCGAACACGGATACGGAAACTTGAAAGGTTGAAACTTCTTAGGGGCAGCCATAAACGCACCCCAAAGTTTGGAAGTCGTTGCAGAAATAAGTGTAAAACAAAGTAAAAGTCTACTAATTAACAAAATGACTTGTCAAAGACTCAACACAAAGCAGCCAAGAATTTTGATTGAGAAAATTATAATGTCGAAAAATAATTTGAGGAGAGACAGCGTGTGGGCTCCACAAGGCCAGGGTCTTCTTGACTCTTCACCAATTACCAATAAAATTAACTATTCTTTTGGTAGTTAGATACAAGGTAATTAATTAGGTAAAGCATAATACATCACATTAAGTATATTGAAAGCAAATAAGGAAATGAAATATAATTTCTTAGAGTATTGCTCGGTCCAGGTACAAACGTGTAAATTTGTGCCCTTTTATAGAATTTGTGTTTTACTTTTGATTACTGATTATATTATGTACATTTAGAGTTTTTAATTTGTTATGAACATTTATAATTTATAAAATTTATTTTTGAGTTGTACTTGTAAATATTACGGTGTGCATATTTATTGTTTGTGTTGTGCACTTATTAGAATTTTAATTTTTAAACTTTACTTTTGAGTTGCATTTGTAATTGTATCATAAAATGAATTTTGTAGCTCTTTGTGGTGTACTTTAGAGTTCACACATGATTTTTATATGACAATATTTATTTTTTTCTTTTGTATTCTTTAAGTTGTGATAAGATAATAAGATCGATTATTTAATGGTAATTGGTGATTATTAAATAAAACAGAATTTACAGCACAAGGTTATGACTTATGAGCATTAAGAAGTATATATTACATGCATGGTAAAAGTATACTTTTATAATTTACTTATATTATTATTAAATCATGGAGTTAATGACCGATTTGGTTCCCTTAACTATAGCGAAATTATTGATTTGATCATCGACTATTATCCTTACCAAATTGAGTTATCATCAACTTTGAAAATTTGACCCAATTTTGTCTTCCACTATTATATCATCCTAAGCTAAGACTCAAATTGACGGGAGGCCGGGTAAAATTGAGTAGAATTTTTAAAATTGAGGACTTAATTTGGTAAGCATAATAAGAGTTTATTATCGAAATGATCTCTCGATTATTGTGAAATTATTAATTTGGTCCGCGACAATTTTTTGTGCCCAATTAAATTCTAGACTTTGAAAATATTAACCAATTTGGTCATCCGTTTATTTTGTTGTTAGACATCCATTAACTTTTGACCAAATTGGTAATTTTGCTATACTCAATGGAACATTTCAGTAATTAACTTTCATAAAAAATGGTGCATGTGATGACCGAAATGGTCCATCGACTATTGCGAAATTACCAATTTGATAACTACAAGATTATAAATCAATTTATAAATCAAGTTAGTAACACGGTTAATTTGGTAACTACAAGATTATAAGTTCAACTTCCAACGTGAGTGATCTATTAGCCTTTTCTGGTTTGAGTTCGTAAACTATGGATAACTTAAGATAGTTTATATTAGTCCTTCATTAATTGGAATTACAATGCAGGATTTACGTACTAAGTGCACATCCTCAAATATTGATTGCATGTTTCCTTCCTCACTCAAAATTTTATAAATACTTACTAATTAATACAAATTTTGATTTTAAAAAAAAATATTTATCAAATATTAATGCATGAAACTAATGGAAGATCAACAACAACAACAAAAACAAAAGACACGATTTCACATTGACACAATTATTTAATTTGTCGATTTAAAACGACGTAGAAATGGTCAAAACGTTAAAGTAGTAATCAACTTAAGAACACAAATTATGAAATTAAAGAATCTACGTATAGAAGCAGTAGTAGTAGAATAATGTTTTACCGGTCCACAAAGCTTCTAAACTTAGTCACCGCCCATGATATCGGTGCCCTCCCCTATATAAACAATTGCCCATCGATCGCCATTTCTCATTCTCACAAAACCCTCCATCAACACATCATTTCTCTTTCCTTCTCCCTCAGCTTTACACCACAAAAAAGAGCACCAAATACATATAACAAAAATGGCTTCTTTTAAACCATCTTTGATTCTTTTCTTTGCGTGCTCCCTCTTCGTTCAAGCCACTCTTGGTAAATATATTCAATATACTATATATATATATATATGTATGATATGTATATATAGTTTTGAAAGATTGATGTTTAATTAATGTTTTTTGTGTTATTGGTTTTGTTTAGGGGAGATAATTTGTGAGGAATTACCCACAAATGTTTGTGCATTTTCTATTGCGTCTTCTGGGAAGAGATGTCTGTTGGAAAACTCGGCTGCTAGCGACGGGAAGGTGGAGTACCAATGCAAGACCTCCGACGTGATGGTGGCGAAGATGGCCGAGTATATAGAGACCGACCAGTGCGTCGGAGATTGCGGTGTCGATAGGAACTCCGTCGGAATCTCGTCGGATTCCTTGCTTGAGCCGGAGTTCACCGCCAAACTCTGCTCTTCGGCATGCCACCAGAACTGCCCCAACATCATTGACCTTTACTTCAACTTGGCTGCCGGTGAAGGTAAGAATATATACACTTTTAATTTATTATATTCTTTCCTTATTTAAAATTTTCTAATCTAAATAATAATATGTGGCGATTAATTTATATTTTTAGGAGTGTATTTGCCGGAGCTGTGTGACAAGCAAAGGAGCAACCCCCGGCGAGCCATGGCGGAGCTGTCCAGCAGTGGTGCGGCGGCGGTGAGCCCTGCCACCAGTGAAAGCCTTGTTGCTGATGCGCCTGAGTCTTCCCCTGCACTGGCGCCGGCACCGGCACCGGCTTCTCTGTAATTTCAATCGTTTTCTCCATGTACGCATAATATATAGTAATTTGTTGGTTCGTTTTCCCATCTTAAATAAAGGAGATGAATATGGTCGGATTACAATACATTATACACTAGTTATTAGTCGGACTATGAAGAGCTTATGTAATTCCTTAATAATATATGGGTTTGTCAGTCATGTATTATTTTTCTTTTCTATATATAATTTGTAGTTTTGCATATTCATTTTAAGTTACAAATTAAATAAATCGTATCAGGGATCTTATAGCTCGAGTAAAAAAATTGCATTTAAATTTATTCAGAAAATAAATTCAAATTCAAAACAAATACCAAAATACAAAGCCAATCTCCCAACGCATTTGACAAATTCAACGCGGATTTGATGCAGGGATACGTGTAATAAAATATGACATTTTCTTACCCCAAGCAAATTGTAATTCTAGAAGTATAGTTGCAGAGTTTTTGAAAATTCAATTCTACTATACGTGTTGCAGTGTGGACTGTCGTGCAATTTTACTAAAATTTTAATAAATATTGCACTTTTATTAACAAGTAAATTAAAGTTTTTAGAACACATCATTTCAATCTTTTTTGCTAAAATTATCAACATTGAGGAAGATCTTGTGGCGGTGGGGGCAACGATGACTCTGGTGTCGGTCCGTTCTCAATCACAAAAACGGTGGCCAAACCAAATTTCAGGTGAATATCTAAATGACAATGCATTACCCATACACCTATACATTAAATGACATGATGAGTAAAGTATCATAAGCCAACACGTACCTAATAAACATTAGGTTACGCAAATAAAACTTAGTGAACACATATTAGAAATGTTACGTAAAATTTGTTGAATACGTAGTATAAATGTTATGTTACAGAAGTACTATTTACAATACTGGAGACTATACTTCTAAAAATTGAATTCATTTTTCTCGAATTGCATATATATAATTAATTGGGCCAAAAAAGAATTATAAGATTCCAGAAAGAAAATATAATAGTAATAGTCGAACACGGATACGGAAAGTTGAAAGGTTGAAACTTCAATTCATAGGGGCAGCCATAAACTTAACGCACCTCAAAGTTTGGAATTGAAGTCGTTGCAGAAATATAAGTGTAAAACAAACTAAAAGTCTACTAATTAACAAAATGACTTGTATCATCTTTGTTGAATATATGGGTTTCTGCGTCGCTGAGCTACAATTCCATGGAAGTATTTAGAATTTAGGTCACCACCTTTGTACCAGAACGTCATTGCTCTCTGTCTCCAAAATTGGTTTTGTTGTTCCAATAGATGAAGGAAGGTCCGTTGAGCAGTACGTAGCGAACTCTTGCACTCCGTAAGTGTCAGTTCTGCCTCTAAGCCTCTCCATTTTACTTCTGCTAGCATCAATTTCTGGTTGAAGTTCTTCCCCCATTTCCAGATCGCAGAGCTCTTTTCCCAAGTGAATTGATAACCCTGGAATTCGAAATCTCTGAGGCCACTACTTTCCACAGCTTCCTTGAATCCCTCCATGAGCCAAGAAGGATGAGGGCAATTACCAATCTTCTCAGTTGGGTGGGTAATATCGTTGAAATCCCCCATAGTAATCCATGGAAGGTCACTCTGATTGGAGAGATTTTTGAGGAGGTTCCATGAATAGCGCCGTCTGTATCGTTCCGGGCATCCATAGAAACCGGTGAAACGCCATAACTGTGGGGAGTTGTTCGTAATCGCAGTTGCATCAATATGGTTAGTAGAGAAAGTAGTGATGGAAACGTCTACTTCCTTCTTCCAAAGTAGAGCTAATCCGCCCTTTAGTCCAACACACTCAACTACAAAAATGTAATCAAAACTCAACTTTATTCTAATAACATCCATCTTCTGTGAGTCCAATTTGATCTCCATTAAAAAGGGCAAATTATGCTGTCCATCCGTATGCACAATGCATGGTGCATACGGATGCAAAAACGACGTCGTTTTATTAAAAACGCGCGTCTCCCATTAAAAAAAAAATCATGTTCGATTCCCAGCAACAACATATGAACTAAAATTTTAGAATCGATGAATTATAATTCCATAATCGATGAACTAAAATTCCAGAATCTAATCTATGAACTAAAAATTCCAGAATGAATGAACTAAAATTCTAAAATCTATGAACTAAAATTTCAGAATCGATGAACTACGATTCCAGAATCGATGAACTATAATTCCAGAATCAATGAACTAAAATTTCATAATCTATGAACTAAAATTCCAGAATGAATGAACAATATAATGCTGTTGTTGGGAATCTAACAGCTAAGAGCTTGAAGTTGACATGTCTGTCATTCCCATTAAGAGGCAACACAACAGGAACATCAACTATGACTGGAGATCAACACGGCTACGCTTCCGCTATCATACGAGGTTAGGTTTCTCGTATACTATGGTTCATATAGTTAGACTATTGTATATCTAACACACCAAACTTCCTATCAACATTAAAGTCGCACATAAATGCTATCAATAAAAAGGGGAAAGACACATGGCAACCAACCAACCAACCAAGTTGGAAAAAAGCGACCCAGACAAAACACCTTTTTACCAAGAACAGGATGGGAGCTTGTTAACTAGAACAAGGGAAAAACTTGTTAACAAGAACAAGAGAAAATTGTTTTGTACTCTGTAACGTCTACAGTACCTTTGGTTTTTAAGCTTCTAAACTTAGTCACGGCCCATGATATCGGTGCCCTTCCCTATATAAACAATTGCCCCTCCATCGCCTTTTCTCATTCTCACAAACCCTTCATCAGATCAACACATCATTTCTCTTTCCTTCTCCCTTTACACCACAAAAAAAGAGCACCAAATACATATATATAAACAAAAATGGCTTCTTTGAAACCATCTTTGATTCTTTTCTTTGCGTGCTCTCTCTTCGTTCAAGCCACTCTTGGTAAATATATTCCTCTTCCTAGCTTTTCCTATTCTTATTCAATATACTATATATATAATTAATGTTTTTGTGTTATTGGTTTTGTTTAGGGGAGATAATTTGTGAGGAATTACCCACAAATGTTTGTGCATTTTCTATTGCGTCTTCTGGAAAGAGATGTCTGTTGGAAAACTCGGCTACTAGCGAGGGGAAGGTGGAGTACCAATGCAAGACGTCGGACGTGATGGTGGCGAAGATGGCCGAGTACATAGAGACCGACCAGTGCGTCGGAGGTTGCGGTGTAAATAGGAACCCCGTCGGATTCTCGTCGGTGAGCCCTGCTACCAGTGAAAGCCTTGTTGCTGATGCGCCTGAGTCTTCACCTGCACTGCCACCGGCTTCTCTGTAATTTCAATCGTTTTCTCCATGTACGCATAATACATAGTAATTTGTTGGTTCGTTTTCCCGTGTTAAATAAAGGAGATGAATATGGTCGGATTACAATCGTTATACCCTACACCACGGCACGGCGCGGGTAGCACTGTGCGCCGCGGGCCTCCCAAAACGACGTCCGGATCGTTTTGGGAGGCGCAGTAGGAAGTTGTTGTGATTATGTGTATTTGTTCATACAGTTATGTACATTTTTTATACAATTATGTACATTCTTTTTATACAATTATGTACATCCGAATCAGAAAATTTGTGTGTATTATGTTAAGAGTTGATGTGTATTATATTAAAAGTTTATGTTTATTATGTACTAGTATTTGCCCCCGTGCGATGCACGGTATGAATTTGTTAAAATATTTTAAAAATATTTAGATCGATATATAATTATATAAATTATTATATAATGAAATTGATGAATCGAGTTGGATCGATTGTATCTTCTAATGTTATCATTGCTTGAATTTGATCAAATAATTACCCAAAATTAATAGTCAATGTGTAGATGTACGCATCAAGTGCCCAAAATTATTAATTTTCATATCGATTAATATTCTTTCCATCTCGGCTAAACCTTACAGGCCGTTTGGCTGGAAAGAATTTAAATTCCATTCCTACTTAATTCCCACCTAATTCCAAATGCCATAAAATTCCTTAGTTTGGTTGGAAGGAATTACAATTTCCCCATTTTCATGGAATTAAAATCGCATGCCCCCTCCCCCCCAGATTTTAATTCCTGGGATTTTAGGAAAAAAAAAAAAAAAAAAAAAAAAGCTAGTAATGAGACAAAATTACCCTCTTTTTTTTTTTAATCTAAAATTAATACCACAACAACAATGGACATTTTGGACTTTATACTACTTATTCCCTTTCAATTCCCATGTATACCAACCATTGGAATTGAAATTCCCAGTATTCTATTCCTGTAAACCAAACACTGGAATTTAAATTCCCACTTTATTCCCAGTAATTCATCTCCCATGGAATTGCAATTCCTTTCCCACGTAATCCCTCCCTCTCCAACCAAACGCCTGTTATATTTCCATCTCGTATTGCAAAACATTTTCCATCTTTAATTACAAAATTTTTCTTATAAATTGTGGATACTAAATGATTCTATTCCATTTTCAATTTTTAAATATATATCTTTACATAACTATATTTCAATAACAAATATATACAGATTTTTTATATATATTTCCAGTAACTTTATATTTTATGAAATATACAACCGAGATTAATATTTTTTCTATATACTGAGTCAGTTTGGAATTATTTTTTATTTTTAGCCAATTATTAATAGTCATTTTCTATTTCAATTACCATAAATTTCGTGTCACTTTTATTCTTAGTCAATTATTCTTTTTAATACATATTAATTAATTAGTTAATTAATTATTAATAACAGTTATATATATATATATATATATATATATATATATATATATATATATATATATATATATATATATATATATATTTCCACTAACTTTAAAGTTTATAAAATATATAACCGAGATTAATATTTCTTTCCATCTCGGTTAAAATGATTATTTCTCATGCCTCAACACAATCACATATTATTTCCATCTATAATCAAATCCATATTCACTTTCATTTTTATTTTTTTTGAATACTGTCATCTTCATTTTCCTATAATCATCCATTTTAATTTTTAGGAAATCATGATACCACATCAAACTGGAAACTACATAGGAGGATTTTATTTTTATTAATTGTATACATTATTATTATTATTATTATTATTATTATTATTATTATTATTATTATTATTATTATTATTAATTTAATTCCATATCCTTATTATTATTAATTAGTAATTTTTTATATAATTTTCCTTTTTTACTGGTATCCTTATTATGTACCCTTTTTTTGTTTGACAATCTTGCATTTCCTTTGGCAAATTATGTTGTGCATCCGTATGCACCATGCATGGTGCATACGGATGCAAAAACAACGTCGTTTTAATAAAACGCGCATCTCCCTTTAAAAAAAAATCAGGTTTGATTCCCAGCAACAGCATATGAACTAAAATTCCATAATCGGTGAACTATAATTTCATAATCGATGAACTATAATTCCATAATCTAATCTATGAACTAAAAATTCCAGAATGAATGAACTAAAATTCCATAATCCATAAACTAAAATTTCAGAATCGATAAACTACAATTCCATAATCGATGAACTATAATTCCATAATCAATGAACTATAATTCCATAATCTATGAACTAAAATTCCAGAATGAATGAACAATATAATGTTGTTGCTGGGAATCGAACCTGAATTTTTTTAAAAGGGGAGACGCGCGTTTTTTAATAAAACGACGTCGTTTTGGCATCCGTATGCACCATGCATGGTGCATACAGATGCACAGCATAATGATTGATTTCCTTTTCTATTTTCAATGAATTAAGGATTCTTTTTTATTTTTCTATTTTAATGATTATTATTAATATTAATTAATCAGTGAATTCCGTTTCCTTTACTATTTTCAGTGAATTACAGATTATTTTTTATTTTCTTATTTTAATGCTAACTTTTTTACTGATTATTATTAGTATTAATTAATCAATGAATATCATTTTCTTTTTTTTTTTTCATTTTCCGTGAATCAAGGATCTTTTTTTATTTTCCTATTTTACTGCTAACTTTTTTACTGATTATTATTAGTATTATTAATTATTAACATTTTTCCTTCTCTATTCTTTGGGCGGGAATGCAAGGAAAGATGATTTTGTTTTTAATAAGAGTATAGATAGACTATAGAAATTTTATAAATATATATCTTAATAATAAAAATTTAATTACATTATATTATTTTTACATAAAATAGAAAAACATGTAACAGTATATAGAGTTTATAATAAATATGTAGATATGCTAAAATAAAAATTAGCTAATTAAAAAAAAATGATTTTCTTTCATGCCTCAACACAATCACATGTTATTTTCATCTATAATCACATCCATATTCACCATCATTTTTTTTAATACTATCATCTTCATTTTTCTAATCATCCATTTTAATTTGTAGGAAATCAGGAAACTACTTCAAACTGGAAACTACATAGGAGGATTTTATTTTTATTAATAGTATAGATTATTATTATTATAATAATAATAATAATAATAATTATTATTATTATTAATTTAATTCCATATCCTTATTATTATTAATTAGTAATTTTTGATATGATTTTCCTTTTTTACTTGTATCCTTATTATGACCCTTTTTTCACACAATCTTGCCTTTCCTTTTCCATTTTTAATGAACTAAGGATATTTTTTATTTTCCTATTTTACTAATTATTATTAATATTAATTAATCATTGAATTCCGTTTCCTTTTCTATTTTCAGTGAATTACGTATTTTTTTATTTTCTTATTTTTACTGTTAACCTTTTTACTGATTATTATTAGTATTAATTAATCAGTGAATTTCATTTTCTTTTCCATTTTCCGTGAATTAAGGATCGTTTTTATTTTCCGATTTTACTGCTAATTTTTTTTACTGATTATTATTAGTATTAATTAGTAACTTTTTTTCCTTTTCTATTCTTTGGACGGGAATGCAAGGAAGGAGGATTTTGTTTTTAATAAGAGTATAAATAGTCTATAGAAATTATAAAAAAAAATGTATATCTTAATAATCAAAATTCAATTATATTATATGATTTTTACATAAAATAGAAAAACATGTTACAGTATATAGACTTTATAGTAAATAGTAAGATATGCTAAAATAAAAATTATCTAATTAAAAAATGATTTTATTTCATGCCTCATCACAATCACATATTATTTTCATCTATAATCAAATCCATATTCACCTTCATTTTTTTTTTTAATACTATAATCTTCATTTTCTTAATCATCCATTTTAATTTGAAAGAAATCATTAAAGTACTTCAAAATGGAAACTATATAGGAGTATTTTATTTTTATTAATAGTTTACATTATTATTATTATTATTATTATTATTATTATTATTATTATTATTATTATTTTCATATTCTTATTATTATTAATTAGTAATTTTTTATAGGATTTTCCTTTTTTACTGGTATCGTTATTATGACATATTTTTGTGCACAATCTTGCCTTTCCTTTTTCATTTTCAATGAAATAAGGATCTTTTTTTTTTTTTATTTTCCTATTTTACTTATTATTATTAGTATTAATTAATCAGTGAATTCTATTTCCTTTTCCATTTTCAGTGAATTGCTTATTCTTTTTTTTTTCTTATTTTACTGCTAACTTTTTTACTGATTATTATTAGTACTAATTAATCAATGAATTTCATTTCATTTCATTTTCCATTTACCTGTTCGTTGCACGGATTTTTTTTTTTGTTATTATGAATTTAAAATTAAAATTGAAAAAATAAAAAGATGTTAAAATGTACAATATAATAATATAGTTGGACTTTTATATATTTGGTCAAGTATTCATTTTCATAACATACAAAATTAAAATTAAAACTTTGTATGGTTAATATAATCTCTAATCATGTACATATTTAGATAATTTATAGAAAAAATACATATAATAAAGTTAATTTATTCCAAATTGTATTTCATATATACTATAATTCTAAAAATATGAATAATAATAACTAAGAGAATTGTACTTAAAAATCAATAAAAATATAAATTCTAAATTTTGTATGAATAAATATAAACTCTAATCGGACACATATCCTTATATGATTGTATAATACATTGTATATACTCATAATATTTATTAATATGTATATATGAAAATTCTTTAATATAATTTCATTAATTATAATTTATATTGATAGATTTATACTTAAAAATTATATTTAGAAATTTAAAAAGTGTATGTATGTATATTTTAAAAAATTTGTAAATATTCATGTTTTGTTAATTTTATAATTTGATTTATTTAATTATATTTCATGTTTTATTAATTATAATTTAATGAAATTGTCATAAATATTTCTACGGAAGAAATCTTATATTTCTCAATAACATTA